TCTCTCTCTCTCTCTCTCTCTCTGTGTGTGTGTGTATGTGTCTGTCTGTCTGTCTGTGTCTGTCTCATCTTGGCAGCCCAGTGGTGTGTGGTCTCAGGTATAAAGAAGATATACTCCAGAAAAGAATACTTTTCTTTGTCCAAGTGGCTTGTCTCACCTTCTCAATAACAACAACAGAGCATCTGAGTCCCATGACCCCACCTTTAACCCCCAATGTCCATGCCAGTTAGCCACACTCTTCTCTAGAGAGCCTCCGGGCAATTTGTCTCTGCAGCCAAGGCTCTGAAGTCCTTGAAGTTGTCAGGGGTCCTTCCCACCTGTTGCCCGTCTCCACCCTCAGCCTCTCCCACCTGCTTCCTTCTCTCAGTTCCTGGAGGCATCTTAGGAACCCTGGGCATGGAGGCAGGAACCCAGGGTCCTTCATCCCCTGAGAGTTTGCCCCAAAAGGAGTTCTCACGTGTCTTTCTAGCGTGTGTATACGGTGTGTGACAGAGTGACCAGCCCAGGTAGCATTTCACACGGCTTGTCTACAGTCCAGTGGTTCTCAACCTCCCTAGTGCTGCAACCTTTTAATATGGTTCCTCATGTTCTGGTGGAGCCCAACCATAAAATGACTTTCATTTCTACTTCATGACTGTAATTTTGCTTCTTATGGATTGCAATGCAAATACCTGTGGTTTTTTTTTTGTTTATGTTTTTCTATTTGTTTTTTTTCTTTTTTTATTATTTTATTTTTTTAAATCAAATAATTTTTTAACCTGTGTCTTAACAAATGGTTTTAGGCAACCCCTGTGAAAGACTGGGTGTATTTCAAAGGAGTCGAGACCCACACATTGAGAAACTCTGGTCTACACTGTACCTATACCTGGCTAGCTTCTCAGCCTCTGGAGGGTTAGCATTGTTTCTTATAGATTTCTACCACCAGCTTGGAGCATCTGAGACAAGGCCCTGTGAATTCTGCTGGTTGGTTCCAGACAGCAGGGGTCCAGGAGAGGAGCAGCAGGTACCAGGTAGATTTAAGCCCTGAGTGCCTGGGACAGCACACCTCACCTCTCTGGGCCTCACCTGGTTTAGCCCTGCACCCACAGTGCAGCCCCCACCCCATCCACTGCCAGGTCCTCAGCGGCAAACTGTTCTAATTATCTGGCCATCTCTCGGAGCTTGAAGCATGGAGAAACTGAGGAACTTGTACCAGGCTACATTATAGCTAAGGGCTTCAGGACCCAGGCAGCTTACACCGACTGTACCAGCCTACCTGTCTGGGAATTTTACTTTATTAAGTTTATTTATCTGTAACGTGTGTGTGTGTGCACACACATGCACAGCTATCTTTCCATCTACATGTTGATGTCTTCTTTGGTTGCTTTCCACCTTATTTTATTTTATTTAATTTATTTCCGAGACAAGGTCTCATTGTGTAGCCCTGGCTGTCCTGGAACTTGCTCTGTAGACCAGGCTGTCCTGGAACTGACAGAAATCCACCTGCCTCTGCCTTTCTAGTGCTGAGATTTAAGGTGTGCCACCATGCCCTGCCCTCCATATTTTGGGGGGATGCAGGGGGGAAGGCCTCTCACTGAGCTGGTAGCTTCCTGTTTATATGGCTAAGTGATGGTCAGCAATTCCTTAAGACTGACCTGTCTGCCCCCATGCTAAGGCAGGGGCTACAGACGTGTTCTGCCAGCTCCCAGCCCAGCTTTGCTGTGAGTGCTGGGTCCCGATGCACTTGTAGCACCCACTTTACCCACTGAGCCTCCCCCCAATTCCAGAGAAAGATTTCCATTATGTAGCTAGAGCTAACCCATTCACTCATTAGCCTGGGCTGGCCTCAGATTCGGTCCGTCTGTCTCAGCCTTCTAAGTGCTGAGATTGGAGTTGTATAGCATCAGACTGGGTCACCTGGAACTTTGAATAAAACTACTTTTATGAAAGGCAGAGTGGGCAGAGGAGGAACGAAGCTTCCGTGACTACATCTTATTAACCCGATGATGCTGAAGAGAGAAGGTGCGGGCAGGAAAGGACAGAGATTTCCATAGGACCAGCCTTGTGAGTCTCTGCATGATGGAAGGAGGGGTGGGCTAAACGGAAGATGGGGCTGTCAGCTCCTTAGGAAGCCCTTGGGGCCTGACCTGGCAAGCTGAAACCAGATCCCTATTGGGCCATCCTTCTCACATCTGGCTCAGGGTCCCCATCTCAGGGAGGCCCCTTGGCCCTTTGCCCTGGGAAAGGGTGGGCACCGGGTCATGGTGGGGTGGGTGGGGAGGTCAGAAAGGGCACGGGGGTGGGAGCGCAGTGGGGTGCTATGTGCTGGGAACATAGGGCCTGGCACCCCAGTGCCCCAGCAGCTGCTGTCATCTGTCAGCCCCCCTGGGGGCACCACAAGGCCACCACCTCTACATCTTCCTGACAGGCCCCTCTTCTGAGGCCGGGGGGGAAAAACAACAGCCCCCTCCTGCAGCAACCCATTTGTCAGCTGAAGGCTGGCCCTGCACCTTTAACCTCCTCAAAGTCAGCAGTTCCCTGTCAAGGCCCTCTGGGGCCAGGAGACAAAGATGGATGGAGGTAGCTGTTTGCAAAGGAAAGCTCTTGGCTGCAGCCAAGGGGAGTGGTCCGGAAGGGAGGGGCCCCTGGCTTCTGGTGTGGCTGGAGGTAGCCCAGGGAGGAAGAGGAAAAACACAAGTTCCAAGGGCCCTGGAGGGCTTCCAGCTGGGCCACACCTGAGCCATCCTACAGAATGCTGGGAATTTCCTCCATTGCTCCTGACAAACAGGCCTTCCTTGACCAGACAGGCCTGTTTCTGAGCTGGCCACCTCAGCCACCTGTGTCTGGAGTTGCTGAAGGTCCAGGAAGGGGCTGGAGGTGAGCAGTCCCTACTCAGGGCATCTATTCTCACTGTTCTTGGGCTCTGTGATCTCTGGAAAATTATAATTTTTTTCCGTGGTTTTCTCAGCGGTAAAATGAAATCGATACAACTTCTTAGGGCTGTATGAGTGAGCTGATCCCTGAAGCAGGGGGAGGTTGATGGAGAAGACCAAGGCATGAGAAAAGCATAGGGCCTTCTCTTTCCTTAACTATGCGGAACCCCATCTGACCAAACGATGCCCATCTTAGCCCCGAGGTATTATTATTGTTGTTGTTGTTATTGTTATTATTAATAATATTGTTGTTCCCTCTCTGTCTTTGTATGTGTGTGCGGTAATGTGTGGATGGACATGCGGGCCTATGAAAGCCAACCTCTGGTGTCATTCCTGAGGATACCAGCTTGCTTTTTGAACCAGGTCCCTCACTGACCAGGAGCTCACTAGTTCAGCTAAGCTGACAGGACAACCAGCCCGAGGGATCCGTTTGTCTCTACCTCCCCAGCAGCTGGATTGTGAAGACACATCGCCACACTCAGCTTTGTATGCGGGTTCTGGAATCAAACTCAGTGCTTTGTGCTTGCCACTGTATGTGCTGTACCCACGGGGTCATCTCCCCAGCCCCCCAGACTCTTTCTTCTATGGCCACATAGCACATATAACACAAGCATGGTTTTGGGAATCAGGAGTGTGTGGGTTCAAATCCCGGCCCTACCAACAGTAAATAACACTGAGTACTCATGTGATCACGCAAACTTCTTTTTTCCTTTCTGTAAGATGGAATTACATTTCTTTCTTCCTCATTGACTTACAGAGTGAGATTGCATATAAAAACTTAGGAAAGCCCTACACATGCTAGTGGCATCTTGTCTTAGTCACTTTTCTGTTGCTGTGAAGAGACACTACGACCAAGGCAACTCTTGTAAAAGAAAGCATTCAATTGGAGACTTTCTTACAGTTTCAGAGATTCAGTCCATTATCATCATGGCAGGAACCCTGGCGCTGGAGAAATAGCTGAGAGCCACATCCTGAGAGAGAGGAGAGAGAGAGAGAAAGAGAGAGAGAGGAGAGGGGGGGAGGGGAGGGGAGGGGA